AGCACGACCTCATGAACCTCCGAATGAGCGACAACCACCGGATCGCGAAGTACATCACCCAGTTCACGCGCCTCGCGACTCAGGTCCGGTGGGGAAACGCCCCGCTCCGTTACCGTTTCTATGACGGTCTTCCAAACCGTCTGAAGGACCGGATTTCGGAGGTCGGAAAGCCTACGACGCTCGTCGGGCTTCGCGACTTGGCCCAGTCTATCGACAACCGGTACTGGGAGCGCAAGACCGAGCAAAGCCGGGACTCCGGGACCTCTAAGTCCGGAGGGAAGTCCGGCTCCTCGGACTCGAAGCCGCAGCAGTCGTCCAAGCCTTCCACCTCCAACTCCGGGTCCTCCAACTCTGGAACCCCGAAAGCGACCTCCTCTTCCGGCCACAAGCAGGCGGCCAAGACTCCGGCCAAGCCCTACGCCGACAAGCTGGGCAAGGACGGCAAGTTGACGGCCGAGGAACGTCAGCGGCGGTTCACCAACAACCTCTGCCTGTTCTGCGGAGGTGCCGGACATTCGGCCAACGCGTGCCCGAAGAAGTCCTCCTCCGCCGCCAAAAGCCGAGCCGCGCAGGCCAAGGCCGCGCCAGCTCCGGCTGGAGGAGCGCAAGTTGAGGCTCCCGCGGAGCCAAAAAACTAGTCCGCAGTCCTCCGAACTCCGCGCCCTCGGAGGATTGCGTTGACTTCTCCGGCGCGGAGACCTGCCTCCGACTCAACGCGTCCGCTCTTTCCGACCCCTTGTCTCTCCATATCGATCTCTTCTCCGACTCCGTTCCCACTCCGTTCCGTACCCTCATAGACTCCGGTTCCTCGCATTGCTTCGTGGACTCCGAGTTCACGGAGAAGCACGGAATTCCGACCGTTTCCATTTCTCCGATACGTCTTCAGCTCTTCGATGGCACGTCCAACCAGATTATTACTAGGACTGTCAATTTACCTCTGCATTTTCCCTCGGGAGAGGTCATCTCCGTCGACTTTTATGTCACCCCGCTCGACAAGTCCGTCTCCGCCGTACTGGGATACAGCTGGCTCTCCGACTACAATCCGCTGATTGACTGGAAGAAGCGTAGCATCCAATTCCGGACCGCGCCGACGACTCGTCCCCCTTCCGAACCCGCTCGGGAGTCAACTCCGACTCCGAGCCCTCCAGAGGACATCCCGGGCCCTCTGCCTCCGACCTCCCCGACCGGACCCCGGGTCTCCCTGATCAACGCCGCCGCGTTCGCACGCGCCTGCAAGATCCCCGGCTCCGAGAGTTTCACGCTCAATCTGGCCTCGTCCGACTCTGCTTTCGCTCGGAGCTCGTCCATCTCGGAAGCTCCCCCAGACCTCTCCGGAATTCCGGAGGAGTACCACGAGTTTGCGGACGTCTTCAGCAAGTCGCAGGCGGACATTCTGCCGGAACACCGCTCGTACGACCTCAAAATCACCCTCGAGGACGGCGGAGTTCCGCCTCTCGGCCCGATCTACTCGCTTTCCAAGCTCGAGCTGGACACCCTCCGCGAGTACATCGACGAGAACCTCCGCTCGGGGTTCATTCGCCCGTCGAACTCCCCCTGCGGAGCTCCGGTCCTCTTTGTCAAGAAGAAGGACGGCTCTCTCCGTCTCTGCGTGGACTACCGGGGTTTGAATAAGATCACCCGGAAGGACCGCTACCCGCTTCCGCTCATCTCGGACCTCCTGGACACGCCTCGGAAGGCCCGGATTTACACCAAAATCGACCTCCGACACGCCTACAACCTAGTCCGGATCGCCCCCGGAGATGAGTGGAAGACGGCTTTCCGCACGCGCTACGGATCCTTCGAGTGGCTCATGATGCCGTTCGGACTTTCCAACGCCCCCGCGGCTTTTCAACGCTTCGTGAACGAGGTGTTTGCGGACCTCCTCGACGTCACAGTGGTCGTCTACTTAGACGATATCCTCGTCTACTCCGACAACCCCGAGGACCACCCGAAACACGTCAAAGAGGTACTCCGACGCCTCCGAAAGCACAAACTCTACGCTCGTGCCGACAAGTGCGAGTTCCACGCCGACTCCGTCGAGTACCTCGGCTATATCCTCGGCCCCGACGGACTCACCATGGCGGAGTCCAAGGTCCGCGCGATCCTGGAGTGGCCGGAACCCCGCAAAGTCCGAGACGTTCAGTCGTTTCTGGGCTTCGCTAACTTCTACCGGCGTTTCATCCACAACTACTCCGAGATCGTCGTACCTCTCACCCGCCTAACTCGGAAGTCCGTTCCGTGGGTTTTCTCCGAGGACTGCCGGAAGGCCTTCAACGCTCTCAAGCAAGCCTTCACCGCTGCTCCGGTACTCCGACACTGGGAGCCGGACCACCCTCTGACTGTCGAAACCGACGCCTCGGACTACGCCATCGCCGGAATCCTCTCCATTACCTCGGAGTCCGGCGAACTCCACCCCGTCGCTTTCCATTCCCGCACTCTCACCGGCGCGGAGTTGAACTACGACACTCACGATAAGGAACTCCTGGCGATCTTCGAGTCGTTCAAGTCCTGGCGGCACTACCTCGAAGGATCTCCGACTCCGGTAGACGTCGTTACGGACCACAAGAACCTGGAGTACTTCGCCACCACCAAACTCCTGACCCGCCGGCAAGCCCGGTGGTCGGAGTTCCTGTCCCAGTTCAACCTCGTAATCCGATTCCGCCCCGGACGGTTAGGCGCGAAACCCGACGCACTCACGCGCCGTTGGGATGTCTACCCAAAAGAGGGGGATAGTGACTACTCCGTCGTCAACCCACACAACTTCCGACCGGTTTTCACCCAGGAGCAACTCGCAGCCTCACTCCGAGCGACGATACTCCGAGAACCGGTCCTCCGAGCCTCTTACCTCCTCGACGACCAACAACTCCGCGCGGACATTCTCTCCGCGACTTCCACCCCGAATCCCGACCCCGAACTCGCCGCAGCCTTGCAATACGCCTCCAAAGGTAACCCACGCTGGTTCAAAGGACGACGCGGGTTT